CTCATAAAATGCTTCTACAATACTGCAGCAATCATGTTCCCATCCATCCGGAGGGTTAGGCATGACAGTCAGCAGAGTGGCAGGGTTTAACACATTACACCTTTTGATAACTATATTGCTAGGTATCACGTACCTGGTGTTAGAGGTTTCCCTTGCTGCTAAGTTCCAGACTCCCCTGGATATGGGACAGAAGAAGTCAGGCCCAAAGTAGCACGGGTTGTCTGTAGGAGTGCTTGTCAGAGGTACACCCAGGAGCACAGCTGATGCACTGGAATGTGTCTGCAGACAGGTGGCGCCCGTGAGAGGTATGCAGGCCTTCAGGGTAGCAGAGGACCACAGGGTAGTCTGTTCAAAGCCAATGTCAGATACCAGGTGGAGATTGGAGCAGACGTAGTCAATAGGATAGCCAGGGTCATACACTGGAGAGCGAGTGAAAATATCTATTAGCCAAGCTGAGGTCAGATTAGGAGAGCAGGTGAGAATATCCGTTAGCCAAGCCAGGGTCAGATCAGGAGTCAGAGAAGATAGGTCCAGGAACAAGCCAAATTGGTAACAGGAGATCACAGTAGCAAGGTAACACGGACAAAGGTACTGAGGAGCCAGAGATCAACCAGCAATGATGGGCTTCCTGATAAAGGCCGTCTGTCACCAAACTGAGCTAATGCGTGCGTAACTATGCTCCAGTGCACATGCGTGTTCCGGCTCGCGTCCGTGCGCCAATGTGCATAGATTTTCACCAGCGTGCATTTCTGTGGCCATGCAGGGTAGTGGCAGGAATGCCAGGTCTCAGAGTACCTCTGCTGTGGACAGAGCCCTGACACTAGGTGTGAGTAAAGCCAGTTCATACTTAGTTTGTCTGGCGGCAGAGAGATGCTTAGTATTAATTTGATTAAGCACCTGTTCTACCGTATGAGGAACCATAAGAATTAAAGTATTTCCCAACACCATATCTGCAGTTTTTTCCACCTTAATGGCTGCCACCGATGTAGCCTTATCTCAAGGTGCTGCTGTATAGATAACAGGATCTAGAGATTAAGATTAGTACCCCACAGGCTTGTATTATCTGCATGCTTCTGCATCAATACTCCTGACGCATGATTGTTTGCCTCATGACAAAATCCTTTTTTGTACTCTGACAAGGCTAAACATGGGCTTGTCATTTATATTATTATTATTATACAGGATTTATATAGCGCTAACAGTTTACTCAGCGCTTTACATTTTAACAGGAGACAATACATTAATAATATAGTTCAATACAAGAGGGGTAGGAGGGCCCTGCTCCTTGGAGCTTACAATCCTAAGAGGGAGGGGCTAGCGGTACAAAAGGAAGTAACTGTGGGGGATGGACTGGTAGGAGTAGAAGATTCCATTATTAGCTGAGGGCAGGATAGGCTTCCCTGAAGAGAGAGGTTTTCAGAGATTGCCTAAAAGTGAGCAGAGTAGGCGATAGTCTGATAAATTGGGGTAGAGAGTTCCAGAGGATGGGGGGGAAGTCCTGGAGATGAGCATGGGGGGCGGAGACCAGGGAGCTAGAGAGCAGGAGACCGTGTGAGGAACAGAGTACGGCTTGGGTAATATTTGGAGACAAGATTGGTGCTGTAATTTGGGGCAGAGTTAAAAATGGCTTTATATGTTATTGTTGATGTTTTGAATTTTATCCGTTGGGCAATGGGAGGCTAGTGGAGGGATTGGCAGAGAGGGGTGGCAGAAGCCAATCCCTCCACTGGCTTCCCATTGCCCAACGGATAACCATTCTGTATCTGCCACCCCTGTCTGCCAATCCCTTCACTGGCTTCCCAATGCCCAAGGGATAAAATTCAAAACATCAACAATAACAAGGTGGATGAGTCTGGCAGCAACATTCATGATAGACTGAAGAGGGGATAGCCTGCGATGAGTTAGGCCAATGAGGAGGGAGTTACAATAGTCAAGGCAAGAGATAACAAGGGAGTGAATAAGTTGCTTAGTAGTTTCCGAGGTTAAGAACAGGCATATCTTGAAGATATTGTGTAGGTGAAGTCTACAAGATTTGGACAGCGATTGGATTTGGGGCTGAAAGGACAGACGGGAGTCTAGAATTTCACCTAGCACCTTGGCATGAGGGGAGGAACTGAGGGTTGTGTTATTAATCTTGATGGGGAAGTCAGGGGATGGGGCACGTGCTGGAGGGAATACTAAGAGCTCAGTTTTGGAAAGGTTGAGTTTGAGGAAGTGGAGTGACATCCATGCTGAAATGTCGCTTAGTAGGTTAGTAATGCGAGAGGAGACTGAAGGGGTGAGGTGAGGAGTAGAAAGATAGATTTGTGTCTCATCAGCATAGAGATGGTACGTAAAGCCATGGGAGTTTATGAAAAGTGACCAAGGGAGGAGGTGTTGATGGAGAAGAGAAGGGGTCCAAGGATAGAACCTTGAGGGACCCCTACAAAAAGAGGAAGTGGAGAGGAGGAGCCAGAGCCAGGTAACTTTGAAGGAGCGCTGCGATAGGTAGGAGGAGAAACAGAGAGAGAGCAGTGTCTCGGAGGCCAAGAGAGTGGAGGTTTTTGAGGAGGAGGTTATGGTCAACAGTATCAAAAGCCGTGGAGAGGTCAAATAGTAAGAGTATGGAGTGGTGGCCATTGGTTTTAGCAGTTAGTAGATCGTTAGTGAGTTTTAGTAGGGCAGTTTAAGTGGAGTGTAGTGAGCGAAAGCCAGACTGTAATGGGTCAAGAAGGTTGTTGTCAGTGAGGCAGGAGCTTGTAGACTATGCGTTCTAAGAGTTGAGGTGAGCAGGGAGTTGGGTCTTAAGTTGTTCAGGTTGGTGGGGTCCAGGGAGGGCTTTTTAAGTATGGCAGTGGTGTGTGCATGCTTTAGAGGGGAAGGCACCTTTAGGGAGAGATTGAAGATGTGAGTGAGGGAGCATAGGATGGAAGAAGAGGGTGACCGTAGTAGTTGTGAGGGGACAGCATCCAGGGGGCAGGTAGTGAGACGAGCTTCTCAGAAAACTTTTGTGACCTCTTCGGTAGTAGCAAGGTCAAAAGAGGAAAGTGTTGAGGGAGGTTTAGTATAACATATGCTAAGTGGGATGGATGTCTATGCAGTGGAGATGCCCCTACGAATTACATCAATCTTGTTTTTGAAATGATTTGCAATCTCGTAAGCAGTGAGTGAGGTACTGGGTGGATGTGGAGAAAGTAGAGAGTTAAAAGTGAAGAGATGATGAGGACTGGATGACAAGCTATTGATGAGAGTGAGAAAGTAGGCTTGTTTGGCAGCATGGAGGGAGGAATTGTATGTTAAGAAAGCAGATTTATATTGGGTGAAAGCTTGCTGAGATTTGGTTTTACGCCACAATCGCTCCAGCGCACGAATATGTCGTTTAAGATTTCTGGTGTTGTCAGTCTGCCAAGGTTATAATGGTCAGGGCCTGATGCTTCCTGTCGTTAGAGGAGTGAGTCTAGTGTGGATGAAAGCAAACTATTGACAGCAGTGGCCAGGTCAGGACAGGGGAGAGATTATGTCATAGAGGCGGTCAGTTGCAGAGTGAATAAAAGCATGGTTCACGTTGTGGAGGTTTCTGCGGGTAATTGTTTGCTGCTTGGAGGGATAGGTGTTTGAAGATGAGGACACTGTGAAGGTGATGAGATTATGATCAGAGAGAGGAAAGGGCGTGTTTGTGAGGTTTTAGGGAGTGCAACAATGAGAGAAAACAAGGTCTAATGTATTCCCATCAGAGTGAGTGGAGGGCTGTGTCCATTGTGTTAAGGCAAAAGATGAGGTTAGGTTGAAGAGTTGGGATGTAGCTGGGTTGTTCACATTAATGGGGATGTTAAAATCTCCAAGAATGATAGTAGGTAGTTCAGAGGAGAGAAAGTAGGGTAGTAGAGAACAGTAAACAGTAAACAGTTCATGTATTTATTGATAAATTATACTCACAAGAGTAGCCGTAAAAAAGGCATATAACATCCAAAACCAACACAGGGTTTGAAGACACATGTGAATTCCATCCGGAAGGAGATAAACTCTTGGTCAAGCTGATGCGTTTCAAAGGGAGATCCCTTCTTTCTCAGAGCTTAAAGATCTGCAAAAGAGGACCTAAATAGTTAGCAGGAATGATCTGTTTTCAGTATTCCAATAATTGGCAGCCTCACTGTTATGTGCTTTCTATGTGTTACAAATTCATAGGAGGCATTTTGCCACTATGTGTCAGTATTTCAGTGTTTTGGTCAGAGGCAAAACTGCCATTGATTCAATACCTGTTTAACCACTAGCCTACAGGGCACTTATACCCCCTTCCTGCCCAGGCGAGTTTCCAGCTTTCAGCACTGTTGCACTTTGAATGACAATTGCGCGGTCATGCAAAACTGTACCCATATGAAATTTGTATAATTTTTTTGTGACAGAGCTTTATTTTGGTGGTTTTTAATCACCTGGGTTTTTTATTTTTTCTTAAACCAAAAACCAGTGAAAATTCTGAAGAAAAAACAGTTTTTTCTTAGTTTTTGCTATAAAATTTTGCAAATAAGTCACTTTTCTCCTTCACTGATGTGCGCAAATGAGGCTGCAGTGATGGGCACTGATAGGCTGTACTGATGGACACTGATAAGTGGCACTGATGGGCACTGATGAGGATGCACTGGTAGGTGGCACTGATGTGCACTGAAAGGCAGCACTCGTATATGGCACTGATAGGCGGCACTGACTGGCGCTGATAGGCGGCACTGACGTGCACAGATAGGCGGCACTGACGCACACAGATGGGCGGCACTGAAAGGAAGCTTAGATGGGCACTGATATGTGGCATTGTGTACTGGTAGGCACTGAAATGGGGCATTGATGTGGCACTGATGGGCACTGGCGGGCGGCATGGATGAGCACTGACAGGTGGCACTGCTGGGGCTACACAGATCATCAGGGCACACTGATCATCAGTGCCCTGATGATCAGTGTACATGTCCCTTCTGAGGGATGCCGATTGCCGGCTCTCCTCTTCTCTCGAGCTGTCAGCGTGACAGCTCGTGAAGTGAGGAATGCCGATAACCGGCATTTCCCTATTTACATGCGATCAGCTGTGATTGGACACAGCTGATCACATGACCGAGCCGACAGCTTTGGCTCTTTCCGTTGATCGGTGATCCGCTGTGTCCGAGGGACACAGCACACCGCTGATCGCTGCGCTGCGCGCTCCCGGAGCCGCGCATGTGCGGTTAGAACAAGAGAACCGCCTTGCGCCTGTCATTGTACCATATGGCAGACGGGAGGCAGTTAAGAGCCTGCTTAAAGACACTAAGTGCTGTGGCTAGGCCCTGTGGAAGCCTTTCCCAGGTGTATTGGGAATTTTCAAACAAAAAAGGTATGTACATGATTCCTCAATTCTTACAGAGAAATATGCATTAGCAATATGCACCACAGGGAAACAGGTTGCATCACTGGGGATATTGGATAACAAGTTATGTGGATTTGGCACAATGAGCATATCAATTTCAATAATTCTGTTTGTTGCTGTTAGGTCTTGTACCATCCGGTACTTGAAAGGGGCCTTACGGCCTAGTGGCTTCTTGTTTGCTGGCTGTGTTACAAGGAGAGTTCACTCTTTTCAGCACTCCCTTCTCCATGCACATCAGGTTTGCCACAGTTGTAACAAGTTAGTGTAGGGTGGCTTGTCCTCTTTTATCTCACTGGACCCTTGTGGGGGCTCACAAGCGAACATTACCCTTTGTGGCTTCTTTGCCTTTCATGTCATCTACATGCTTTTGTATATTGGAAGCCACAGAGATCAAAGCTTGCAGACTCAGTTTTTCCACTCTGGATAACGGACAGTTAACTTATCCTGAATGGCTTTTCTGAGTTCCGTTCCCCACATTGTGGCTAACATGGGAGCCAGGGGAGCAGAATCCGGATCCTGCCCTGTCTCTGTGACAGTCATCTTGAACCTGTCTGTATATTTATGTACTTCTTCTTTAGCTCCCTGTGCTATTGAATTTACTTTTGTCCAAGAGGCTGCTGATCAAATACATCCTATGGCAGCCTTCAGCTTCTCACTGTGACACGGCGACGTCTGGAGAATCCGGTTGGCCAAGCCGTGTGTTCAACTCATCTAGCTTATACAACCATGCCTCTAGTATCATTAATTCAAAATCACTTATACCTGCTACTCCTTTAATTATTCTCAGCATTTCTTCCTAGTTTGCCCTGTAGCTGGTTTTAATGTTACACAGCTGCTGAGAGCAAACACGTTAGAGCTGTGCCTATGCTTCTGCAAAGTATTCCTTTCACCTGGAGTCCAAGGCACATGGTGAGTTATTGTTCCTGTCAGCTGCTGTCTGTCGTCATATGCTCTCTATTCTCTCACAGGGTGCAGCCTTTCTTTCTGCGTTCTATCCTTTCTAAGGTTATAATGAAGTCCCTTTGCCTCATCCATAGTGGTGTCTGGAGCGTTGTCCTTATCCCACTCATCGTCTTGAGGCAACGGGGGCTACTCATAGAGGAGGGGAGGTGATGCTTCCCCTGGGGGCTACTACTCTGCATACTTACCCATTTAGTTGATCCTATATTGGAGCGAACATTCAGTTCATTGTGAAAACAGCACTCGAGGAGAAACTCTTCCAGTGGTGCTGATGCCTTTGGCAATTCCACATATGAGAATAAAGTTCCATCATATAACGGAGGTGGAGATCTCACACTGCTAGACACCCCATCTTCTGTCATGGGCCTACTAGGATTTCTTATGAGTGTCTTTGCCAACAGGTGAGTGCTCATAATCAAAAAGGATTTTAGATGTTTTCAATCAAACCTCATTGGCCCAAGCTGATAATTCATTTGGTTCAGTCATTTTACTGTTGAAATTGTGGTGCAAAGCAGTCCAGACTCTGACATCATAAGTCCCCTGTATGGGCATAGGGTAATCACTGACCTGTGCTAGTCTGTGCCATTTCTTAAGATAATTAATTACCCATTTACCATATAAAGCCCTCAATTCTTGATGAGGGGTTGAAGGGGGTTGTTTAACTTTAGTGCCTCCACCCAGCTGATTTCCCATCTTGCAAATCCCTGAATGTTCTAATTTCCCCTTTTTTGAAGTTGAACAGACAGAAGCCTGGCCAAAAGCTTCCCTTTTCTATTTTTACACACTTCTTTTATGAAAAAGTGTTTCCCTTCTGCCCCATGACCGAACACTGAACTTCCCTTTTACCTCCATCACTTCCCATTTGAAAGCGGCACTTTTCCACCTCCAATTGGGAGGCAAAAAAGGGTTGGCTACTCAGATTCTTTTGGATTTCCTTATGGGTTCGCAATAAACCTTACCCTCCCCTTGCTGCTACCACTCTTCCGTTAGTGTAGTCTTACACAGCTACAGTTAATCACTCACCCAGTGCACTGTAGTTTCACAAAGATCTGAGAGATGATCCTTTCGTTCACCACTGAGACACTATTCTCCCCCCTCCTCCTGACTGGCACAGACGTCACTCTTTTTACAAGATGTGGTTAAGATCACAAATGGCAAAGCCTCTTTGTCTCTCCGGACTTTAACCACTTGCTTACAGGGCATTTATACCCCCTTTCTGCCCAGGCCAATTTTCAGCTTTCAGTGCTGTCACAATTTGACTGACAATTGCATGGTCATGCAGCACTGTACCTATATGAAATTTGTATAATGTTTTTGAGACAGATAGAGCTTTCTTTTTGTGGTATTTAATCACCTCTGTTTTGTTTTTTTGTTTTTTTTAAACCAAAAACCACTGAAAATTAAAAAAAAACACGTTTTTTCTTAGTTTGTTATATAATTTTGTAAATAAGTGATTTTTCTCTTTCACTGATGTGCGCTAATGAGACTGCAGTGATGGGCACTGGTTGGTGGCACTGATGGGCATTGACAGGCATCACTGGGCACTGAAAGGGAGCACTCATATATGGCACTGATAGGCGGCACTGACTGTGATAATTGTGCGCACAGATATGGACAATGACAACCATAATTTGGATCATACTCTGCAAATATCATTCTATCCCCCTCCTTTTTTTGAATGGAATGTGGTCTGTGTGTGTGCTGAGTTCAGGAGTGCACAGGGCACAGCTGGATACGTTTCATGGTTGTAAACCCAATTAGCTGGTTCCAGTATGTCTGTCGGGCTCTTGCCTTGACCTGGTCGTAAAGCTATAAACCAGACAGTCACTGGACATGAAAGCATTCCAGAAGTAGCGGTAAAACATACATCCCACGTATAACCACTTTTTTATACCTTTTTATAAATCCTGGCAGGAACAAGGTACAATAAAACAAAGCATATATTCAGAGAGGTCAGTTTAATACGAGTCACCTGATACCTTACACCCATAGATGACGTCTACCAGAGAGCAGAAAGTGATATCTCTTTAACCGTCACAGCCAGATGTGTCATATTTGATGTCTGGACATTCAGAATATGGTTCTGCATATTAACCTGCCAGTGGCTAGGCTGCTGCATGCACCTTTGGAAGGTTATTGACCATGGTATAATCGTGAGAGGGATTTGGTCATAGCCTGGGTCCCCTCCTAAACACCCCTCCCCAAATGAGGCGATTGGTTCTCTGCTTTAAGGAGACACCCTGCTGGGTTCCTAGAAAACAGGCTGTGATGCCTGGAGAGAGAGATGAAGAGATTCTCCCTTTTAACATCAGGAACCGACTTCGGGAGAAAAGGTACCATTTTGTTCAGGACACTTGAACTCTGCTTAAACCAAGACTTTTGAAAGTATTCTACCTTCTTAAACTTCTTTCTTTTATCACTCTGTTGTGTTATTGCTCTCTCTAGTTACATATATATATATTGGTTACATCTTTTCTGTAAATATTTTTATTGCACCATTTTGACCTTTTTAGTAATAAATCCTATTTTCTGAAAAGTGTTTAACTGTTTCTAAAGGTCTTTAATGCAAACTAAGAATTCCTGTTGCTGAAGAGTGCTACTGTGTGTTTTAAAACCTCTGGATACATCTGTCTGCGGTGACAGTATGTATACAGACGCTTATTCAAACATCATAGTGTTACTTACTAAGATTTGTGAGTTTCCTCCTTCTCTGTAAAAAGGTGATGGTGGCAGTGTAAAGGGTTAATTGTGTAATTAACCTGACCCAGTAAAAATCGCTCTCAGGATTTTGGCACCTAGATTGGGGTCCAGTGGGGTCTGACACCGTGCCCGTCACACTGACTGGTACTGATAGGTGGCAGTGAAAGGCAGCTCAGATAGGCACTGATATGTGGCATTGATGTGCACTGGTAGGCACTGATATGTGGAATTGATAGGCACTGACAGGTGGCACTGCTGGGGCTACACTGATCATCAGGGCACACTGATCATCAGTGCAGATGTCCCCTCTGAGGAATGCCGATTACCGGCTCTCTTTTCACGAGTTGTCAGCATGACAGCTTGTGAGGAGAGAAATGCTGATAACCGGTATTTCCTTATTTACATGCGATCAGCTGTGATTGGACACAGCTGATCACATGACAGAGCCGACGTCTTTGGCTCTTTCCATTGATCGGTGTTGACCAAATCTATGGATTATGAAATATAATATTTCTCTGATATGATTTGATTAACCTTAATGAGAGTTCTTTGACCAAGAGTGAAAGGTTTAACACAACAACCAAAATTTATTAGTAAATAGTAGGGAGGTCTAAACTAACATACCACAATCTATCTATTTTACAATAAGAAAAAGAAACAAAATGTATAGGATTCAACCAGTGAATTAAAGCATATACTACTCATATCCTAAACCCACAAACAGCAAGACAGACAACACATACGACAATCATGTATACATGTAAAGTGCCAGAGAAATGTCCTGATATTTACCAATGGTGTAGCATGGGGGGCCCCCAGGATCGGTGGATCTTCTCCCCTGTCTTCCCCCAAAACCTACCCTGATATACACCTATCTCCCATAGACTTGCATGGGGCCATCCTGATTGGTAGAACTATCCAATCCATCTCCCATTATCTGACGCATCTCATCCAGGATTGGACAATTTCCCAATCCCATATCGCTTACATAACTCAGCCCCATCCCAGAGCCTCCCCTTTTGGTGATAAAATTACATATGCTAGGTCATGGCACCAATGCGTCTGGATCCAGGCTCTCATCAAAATTCTCTCCATTATTGAGAGTCTGGAGGGAACCTTAGGTTATAGCCTGGTAAAACTGCATTCTCCAGATAGCCATCACCATTGCATATCTAAAGAGAGGGTACTTTGAAGTGGCCCTCATACAAACAAAGAGATTTAAATGGCCCGGTCTAGATCGTTATGTGGGCCCCATAAAGTCTGAGATAAGGTAGTTAATTTAGTGGTTGCCCCCTCTCACATAATAGAGCATTCCATGTGTACACACCAAACATTCCTCCAATACAAAACCATCTCTTAACTTAATTACTACTATTTGATCCAATGTGTATGTACAACACACCGATATCAAACCAACCTCTGATATTTCTAACTTTGTATCTTGGTTAACGTATAGTTATACAAATATCTCTATTTACAGTTGCTGATGAAGATTATACATAAACCCCTCATAAGTAAACAATCAGTGATCCTCTGTGTCCGAGGGACACAGTGCACCACCGATCGCCACGCTGCGCGCCACAGCGGTTAGAGTGGGGGGACGTCATGTTAATTCCTCCCAGAAAGAGAGAACCGCCTCGCGCCCTACATTTCCTTATATGGCGCAGGGCTGTGGAGTCGGAGAAAATTTTGGGTACCTGGAGTCGGAGTCGGCAAACAATGCTCCGATTCCGATTAAATTTAGATTGGAATTAAAAAAAAAAAGCAAGTTTAAATGTCCCAATTCACAAAAAGTTATAATTAATGACTTCTCTACTGTAAGAATAAAGACCAATGCATGCAGTGCCTCACGTAACCACAAAACGAACATGTTAAGTGACCGTGAAAAAGCATGCTTTTCATGTGCTTCACTATATGGCACGCAACGCACAATTAGGAGCGGCAATATTTATACTTTCCATAGTGTTGTGTTCTGCTGTTACAGGGAATGCAGCGCCCATGGGTAACCTAGCCTCTCACTGATAAGGGATTAAGTAAATATATTTTTTGCAGGACTAGAGACCCTTGTATAAGTGAATGAAATGGAGGGTCAATAGTTCAAGACTGAAGCTGTAAACCATTGGAAAAACTGCTGTCATTTAGCTAAGACTATAAAAACTTTTAAACTCCGACGTTGCATAAGCGTTACAGAACCAGTAAATGTCCAAATAAAAAAATTCCAACAGGAGTTTTATAAAGCACTAGAAGAAGTTGAAAAGTATGATCGCTCATCAAAACTTACTGTTGAAGAAGCCATCCTTGTTTATCCAGAGATCGTTAGTGATGTGGCCAGAATAGTTACTGCAATGCCACCCACCCAAGTCAGTGTCGAAAGATTATGTTCAGCCCTAAAAATAATAAAGTCTGACTTAAGAGCCTCTATGAAAGAGGATATGGCAGAGGCAATTCTCTTCCTTAGAACTCTACATTGAATTGATTTGCATTTGCTAAGCCTATAACTACATTTCAAGATTAATATAAACCATTTCTAGGTTTTACAGATTTTGTTTTTGGTTCATATAGATAAGCTTTGTTTTTGTTCTAAAACAACCAAATAATGTGGTTTGAATTTTTTGACTGGTAAAGTTCCTGTTCCTGATGTTTATGCCTGCTGCTACTATCCAGCCACTTGATTAATTAATAAAAAAAAATTAATAAAACTTTGTTGTTTTCATTGTGTTTGTCTTTTGCTTAAACTGTTCAATATAGTAGACTGTTGGCTTCCCAGCCAGTAGTCCTGTGGTAATGACATGTATGTTGCCTTTCTTTCCTTCAAGGAATGTATAAAATACATTCGCATATTAATACGTCGGAGTCGGAAGTACAAAAAACTGAGGAGTCGGAGTCGGAACATTTATCTACCGACTCCACAGCCCTGATATGGCGGGCGGGAGGCGGTTAAACACCACATGGAGAGGGCGCACAGGCCTAGTGCATTACCATAAAAAAAATGTTTAATAAATAAAGTAGGTGTTGTACTCACAAACGACAATATAGTCAAGGCACATCATAAAAGAACAGCTGGGTCAACACCGCGCTGAGTAACAGTCCGCAATAGGGAGTTTAGACATCCAAAAGGCTGACACGTTTCGAGGACTTGCCTCTTCCTCTGGCTCTGAGGAAGAGGCAAGTCCTCGAAACGCGTCAGCCTTTTGGATGTCTAAACTCCCTATTGCGGACTGTTACTCAGTGCGGTGTTGAGCCAGCTGTTCTTTTACGATCTGCCTTGACTATATTGTCGTTTGTGAGTACAACACCTACTTTATTTTTTATTAAACATTTTTTATGGTAATGCACTAGGCCTGTGCGCCCTCTCTTTGTTCTTTCCCCATTAAGTATATTTGGATTCCCCCGGTCCATTTGAGGGCAGCAAGGTGTGCATGTTCCAGGACATTCTTAATGTGGTTGTAGCCTGCATCGAGTCCATCCCAAGCGCAGGAGCATTTGTGTTTGCTGGTTAAACACCACAATTGGAGCAAATAAAACACAATCACAGATGAATATCCTTATTATTCCTATTTTTCACAAGCATCGTAGATCACCAGAGGATAGCATAACCTGGTTGCATTGCCTGGATACATCAGTAGACCTTTGCAGTCTTACGTACTCTCCTGCTTCTATCTCATCAGCACTGGCTGTAACATGAGCCCGGGAGGGTGTTTGTTTCTGCTTTAACACCATTATTGCCAATAATATCCATGCACTATTCTAAAAATTTCAAATATGAATTAAGATGTAGTACATTTACTATATGTGTTATTCATTAACTGCTTTTCTTAAAACTCTCTACAGAACTGCAGCTGTTTCACTTTCCCTCCTGTTTCTAATGTAAGATAGTATTGACAGACTGAGAATTATACGTATTAGAAAGCTTACAATGAAATCAATTATCGTTGACAACTATAATAACATATAAGTCATATTGTTAATAATCGATGCATAGGTCCTTTTAAGCACAAAGAGCTTATCAGTGCCTGTTAGAGGTGTGCATACAGTCTTGGCAAGCTGCTAATGCTTTCAGCGTCAAGATGTTAAATGGTACATATCTGCGAACACGTGATTTCACCTTGTCAATGAACCAGGGTTCTCCAGTTTACAGCGTGGCTTTGCGGGTTAATGTAATTTAATTATAGAAGAAGGAAAGGAATGATAGAACAGGATAGAATAGGTAAGGACATAAAAAGAAATGATATGCAAGGGAGACAGTGCAGGTGTGAAAGGAATAGTGAGAATTTAAAATTCCCAAGCTTGCCATTCAATGGGTGGCGTCCCAGTTCCAGGTTTTGAAACGGCTTCTTGTGACCGTTACTTGCGAACTTATAGCTAAGATAGGTGGGTTCACAGGTCACCTGATTGGCTGCCAGGATTTCCTAGCTACCATTATAGGTTAAGGGTCATGGTTCATCCCAATCCAAGTTAGTTAAGGACTTGAATGAGGAAGCAAATTTTTAGAAGTATAGACAGTTGAAGAGAAATTAGTTTTTGTTCTGTTAGTACTCTGTGTTCAAAGCACAAACTTATAAGCATTCTCTCTTTCTCATGCACTCGGAAAGTAGGTAGACATACCAAACCACCACTTGCCTACAACTTTACACCCTCATATCCCCTCCGTTAGAGAGATCATGTGAAATAGAGCTATCCCTAATTCTTCTTGTGCCCTTTGTGACGGCATGAAACCGTGTTTGCTCATCAAAACACTGTTACCGGAACCCATTCACTCAGAGCAAGTTAGTTGGATAGAAATAGGAAGCAAGATAGACAAACAGACAACACAAAACAAAAACAAAGCGACAAAATAAAGACAAACATACTCTAACACAATCTTACACTTTACTCGTCTGGGTCCTTTTAAGATTGTGTTTTAGGCATATACAACTATATTCCTACCAGTCTCGCAAGCAAACATACATTTTGTGAATAAATATACTCACCTAGGGCCCAGTTTGTTGCTTGCTGTGAGTTCTTCTTATTAAATGTAAGGCCCACACTTCGTGTAGCAGGAACTCACGTTCCAGCAAATTATTTTGTTTGGGTAATTTTCACACACGATTCTGTGTGCCGTGCATAGGGCGGTCCATTCGCTTCAATGGACTGCCCTATGTGTGTTTGTCATCCATAAGAAGTTTGTGTTCCCTTTTGACAAGCTCAACGCAGTTTTTAAAGGGTCCATTGCCACGTAACAATCGCAGCAAAACGCTCCATGTATGGGGTTTGCAGAGACTGCCACATATGCAGTTTGCGACTGCCGTGCGATTTGGAATCGCGGGCAGAATTGCAGTGATTCCAAATCGCTAAGTAGGGCCTAATGCAATAAATTAAAGTGGTTAAGGCTCAAGGTTTTTTTATCTTCATGCATTCCATGCATGAAGGTGAAAAACCTGTGTGCAGCATCTCCCCCACCCCCCCCCCCCCCAGTACTCACCTAAGCCGTCTCTCCATCTAGTGATGTGCACTGGAATCTCAGCTACCCTGGGACTCCCCCTGCTTATTGGCTGAGACAGAAGCCAGTGAGCTAATGAGAAGGGAGAGGGGACAGGCTAAATGGACACATGGATCAGCAGGTGCCCACATAGCACGCTGCTTGCTGTGGGGGGCACCCGACAAGGAGGGGCCAGGAGAGCCTGAGGGGGACCCAAGAAGAGGAGGATCCAGGCTGCTCTGTGCAAAACCACTGCGCACAGCAAGTAAGTATTAACATGTTTTTTATTTTTTCTCTAAAAAAAAAAAAAAAAAAGCCTTTAGAATCACTTCTAAAATATTGATGTCTTTTGCGATATCAGTAGCAGTTTGATATAGCTGTCAAAGAGTGACAATGCATCCCTTGCATCCGGAGCAGGAGCAAATCTAACATCGGTCTCAAAATCCAATTTTGGCTTTGTTTCAGGCACGCACAAGGTGGAATTGGACTATTTGAGAAGAATAGAATTTTATGCATCTATGCCATAGTTCCTCGGACAGATTACGGCCTTAATTCAGCCATCTGTATCCAGTGCTAAATAACAAAGTGCAACCGTAATATAAGTAAATATTAAAAGGGTCAAAAGTAAACATTTGACTGAGCTGAAGTAAACACCCGAATGAGCGGTAAACTAGAATGTGCATTCAAATTAATATGATATAAACCTGGCTGAACAATCAGAATTGTAGAAAACATTTGTGCTAAAAATAGTAAATGCCTGGCTGGGCTCACACACCTAAATCAACAAACATGGTGCTAAATCAATCAAAGATAGGGTATAAATACGTAGCCTCCTAGAAATAAATAAATCAAGTGAACCGGAAAAAAAGTGCAGTCTAATTTGATTATAAAAGTCTCTTTCTTCAAGTCTTTAAAGTAGTGCAGCGGTGATTTCAATAGGTGTTAATACCATGCACCTCCACCTTCCAGAATGCACGCTCACCTTAACATCTGACCTATCAAGAATATAGGTCAAATTGTGCTGAATAAAAATTGTCACACACTGGGTAATGGGGTTCCACTTATCCACTGCAGGTATATCCAGGGTCAGTCCTTTGCGTTTCTACTCCAGTAGAAAAAGTTCTCAAAAGATAAGGCATAGGGGACTCCTCATAGTATAGTATAACTTTTACCATAAAAGTATAAATAAAATGCCAGTGCCTTGAAAAAGTATTCATACCCCTTGAAATGTTC